TAAATTAAATTTATAATTATTATAGAACATATCATTATTCGTAAGACCTACAGCAATGTAAAATAATAATAATAGACTTGTCATATAAAGGACACTTTGAGTGGAAGGCTTGTTCGTTGAGTAGCCTATTAGGGGTGTATGATGTAGAGTGCTCCTAGGAGGAAAAAGAAATAACAGGAGGTAAAAATAACCAACAATATTGTGAACTAAAGTTTTTGTTTTTTTATAAATTAATTGATTAAATAATAATAATGTAAGTCAACCGTTGTTTAGAATAAACCATTTTTCGAAGGCCTTTAACGGGTTTTAATTTAATGTAACTTTGACAGGTAGTAAATTCCTATAGTGATTGAAGTACTTGTTATTAAAATAAATGCTTCCAGGTAGGAACCGTGACAATTTCCGCAATCAATGTATTCAATTAAAAATAACCTAGATCAGTATTCAAATAAAAAGATATTTGGGTCTTTTTTCGTTTCCTGAATGTCATAAAAACTATAAGATGAAACAAAATTGTCAGGATTTACAGTCAAGGATTTCTTGACTGTAAATCCTGACAATCGATCAGTCGACTAATTACCCATCCATAAAATCTATATTTAATTTTCGAGCTATTATATATTTATATATATACAAATTTCACTTCTTTTTTTTTTTTATTGATACAGCTCATTTTTTGAATAGTTTGTTTATTATCAATTGATTCTTTTAAAGGCAAATTTTCATGGTATCATACATTTCAACAATTTTCAAATCATTGTTATTTTAATTAATGCTAGTTCCGGAAGCGATAACAATTCCTAAACAATTTTTTTTTTATACCCCCCAGGAATTCAGTGCGATGGTGGTGTAATGGTGAGCATAGTTGCCTTCCTAAACAATTGAACATGGACAATTTTATATATATGATCCATTTTCCGATGTTACTGAGAGGCAAGATATTATTGAACAACCTTTTATTTGTACAATTCAATTTAAATCAATTGTTTATTTATAGTTTTTTTGTATCTGTATTATTAACTTCATTGTATGAAACAGCCAATGGTGTTAGCTTTATGTGTTAAGGAGGCCTTTTCAACATTTAAATGTTGTAATTTAATGAACAAAATGAAAAACTGAAACAAAATAAATTATTGAATACAATAATTATTAATCAATAAATATATTTCATTATTTTAATAAATATTTTGTTTTGATTAAATAGTAAATGAAATTAGTCAGCTTATTTATCAATTAATGATTAAAAATGAATTTTAATATAAAATACTAAAATAAAAAAAATTTTATTCATCTTAATTATTTATTGTTTGAATACACTTTGTCCCACTGTTAGTAGTCATGGTTATAACACATTAATTAATTAGGTATATAAATTATAATAAATTATGTGTCTATTGATTTTGTTTGAATTTAACAGGTAAAAGAACTTTTACAAGTAGTGAGTAATCACCGATAATATCTAATAAAAAAGTTTTCTTGGTTAGTGTAGTTTATAATTCATGTAATTCTGATTTATCATGAAATTAAAAATAACGATAGAAATTATTAGAGCATTTTTTTTAAAACACCTACCATATTTTTATTTCATGAAAATATTAAATATAACCGCGATAAATTATCAAATTGAATGAAGGACAAAAAAAAAATAATAATGTAGCTAAGAAGGGAATGATTTAGACTGAAAGCCAACAATTTGTAAACAATTGTGACCCGGGAATTGGGTGCGGCGGAGTGGGGGAAGTAGGAGGCGTGACGTAGGAGTAGGAAACCGTCCGCGGCACCTCCACGTGCCACTCCTGACCCCCTTGTTAAAGGTCATTGATACTGCCGCGCGGTTCCTGGGCCTACATAAAATTTCGGCACATTCGGTCTCCTCCGCCCGCCTTCGGCAAGCTCCGCAGTCACTCCCCGCTTCTCTTGTCTTAGTAAACATCCAGAATGTACCTCCCCTATATGCGGTAGGGGTTGTTTCTGCCTCTGTCTTCGGGGTTGGATAAACAGGGTCTTCAAGAAGAAGAGGTAGGAGAGGAAGAAGAAGAAGAAAGAAATTGGATTTGGTGTGGACAGCAACTATCAGTGTCATAAGACTTGGAGGTGTAAGATAGGTCAAGAAGAAAAAAAAGACAAGGTAAGAACAGTTTACTATTATCACTCATGAAAAATATAAACGACGAAAGAAATTATTTGCAATTCTAAATGCCTAAACTTTCTCTTAAATCGATAACTATTTTCAAGAAAAGAGGCCAAGCTGAATTTATGATCAAAATTAAGCGAAAAAGTTAAAATTTATTCTGTGAACTGCTTCGTATTCATATCAATCGAATCAAATTATCAATTTTAGTAATTACTTGAGGTCTCAGTCGTATTTTAAGTTACTGTGTTAATATAAAACTTAACCGATTTCATATTAACTTTCTAGAATTTGTTGAAAGATTTTTTTTTTAGAATTGTCTTTTGCAACAGTGTTATCACCATTAAGATGTAAATTAAGTATGTTTTACTGTTTAAATAAGTCTTGAAGAAGTTATGGTTACACCTTTAGCTAATTTATTTAATATTTACAATTTTATCTTCATTCTAAAAATCGGACATCTAGTTTCAAAATGTAAAATAATATATAATTTTCTTTAATGAAGTTTTCAAGTTGCAAACATGTAATCATGTTAATACATAAATATAAGATACTTCGCTCATGTATCTATAATAACTATTCACATGAAATCAATTTCTATAATTATTTGAGATTCTATATTATTTCTGAGATTCTGTATTATGTAGATTTTTTCTTCAAAAATATTCTATCGGTTGAAATATATTCTATCGGAGCAAGTGTATTTGGCAGCGCAATATGGCGCTGGCTGCCCTGTTCTGTGCCCAGATCCCCAGGGCAATCGGTCAGATGGGTGTCCTAGCTCGATCGTTCTCCTTCAAACGTCGCCCGCTATATGTTTAAATGTTGTTTAGCTTAGTAGCTTGGAATTGCGGTAGGCGAGATGCCGGGAGTATCAGATACGATAGGCGATTCTTGAATAATGTTCGCGAGGTCAGTCACAATATGGCGTCGCCTCCTTCCGTGCCACAGAACTGACCACACTTATCCACTTTGTTATTTACCCAATGAGCTCTGAATGGATCTTACATCGAGCTTCTTAGACCTTGATCTGACATCTCAACGCACGTTCTCGAGCTAGAAGTTAATAAATATATTGACTCGACTCCGAAGCTTCTGACAACTTTAGAAAGCCGCCATTTTCTGTGGCCATCCTCTGATATCACTTTTACTTTCGAAACACAGAGTTTGCAGGTAATTTCTATGCCTTTAGTAGTTATCTTATTTTATCTTATTCGAATAAGTGAAGTGTTTTTCAAATGATATATTCTTAGACATTTGATCTTAGTTCAGTGCTAATTATTAATGGAGGCATTTGTATTATATGAAAATAATTACTAGTATTTTAATAGATTTTTTTTTTTTTTAAAGTGAGTTCAATGTTCATCTCTTATGTGAATAGTAAATAATTACTTTTTATTCACCTGTAAAAATACTTAACAGACGACAAACATTATGAATTAAGTATACAGGTAAATATTTATTTTTAAATTATTAAAAATGTCTGAGTATATTTATTGAGAGACATTTTGTTATGGTACAATTCAATTATCATTCTGAGAAACTATTGAATTAATCAATAAATATGTTACTTAACTATTTTTTATTATTATAACATTTTATCAAAGGTTTTTATAACTATTCATGCATGCACATAAATTTTTTTTCTTTATTTTCTGTGGCTGTCTGATATTGCGCATTTTCGCTATATTCAACGTAGCAACTGTGGGGAAGTCAGGAATAATATATATATGTATATATATGTTTTAAATATTTTGTTACCTGGTAAATGTTATCTATAATTGATATCGAGTTTTGGAAAGTACATTACTGAAACGGTTAGAGAGCCAAGACGTCCCCACTGCTGTATCAGTTGTCGAGGTCGGTGATCTCCGGGAAGGACGGCACGTGGAGGGATTGTGGATGGTTTCCCACTCGTGACGTAGTTTAATGCCTTTCCTACTGCTCCTCCCGATCACTATTCATTTTTATTGAAGAGAAGAATAGTTGGGGTGCTCAGTCAAAAAAGGAAGGCAAAAATAAATTATAATATTTATTTTTTACATCTGCCGACGTTTCGACCTGAAGTTCAGGCCATCTTCAGGGCTTTCTCCTAAAATGTCAAAGTTGACTTTGACATTTTAGGAGAAAGCCCTGAAGATGGCCTGAACTTCAGGTCGAAACGTCGGCAGATGTAAAAAATAAATATTATAATTTATTTTTGCCTTCCTTTTTTGACTGAGCACCCCAACTATTCTTCTCTTCATTATCCACGACAGTCAACCAATTACCAATTATTCATTTTTATTGTTCTTTTTACGATAATTGCTTTTTTTTTTTTTTTATTGTTTAATATTTTAGAGCCCTTATGATTTATATAACATTTCTCCTCAGTAAATGAAGATTTTTAGTGATTTTAAATATCATATCTTTCATTGAAAGTTTATATGAATCTAACCAATAACCATTTTCTTTTAATTTTAAGTAAGAAAATACGAATAATATTGTTTTTTTTATCAAATTATTAAAAATCATTATTTTTTCATTGAATAAATAAAGCCTCTACACCTTGCAAGTAATCTTATCAATTTGAAGCATTTAAAACTCTTTTATATAAATATTCGAACCATAAAAAGTTTGTAGGACTGTAATTTGCCCCAGTTATTATCGATCAGTTTATTTATTCAGAAAGGCTGGTCCATCTTTGACAATGGGATTTTTTTATTTAATGGCCCAAGAAAGTAAACATTGTGGATTTAGAAGTGAGGTTTAAATATCCAATTATGTAAGGAGGGAAGCTATGGGAGGGGAGTGGTCACCCTGACCTAGGTTCCGCAGTGTTGGGCAATAGGGCTGGCACGTGGAGCTACGTCACAGGATCCTCAGGCGCATGAACCCCCACTTATTTCCACGTGCACCAACTCTCTCATACAGTTCAGTTCGAACTCGGGAGTCAAGCATGGAGCAACTCCACAACAAAGACTGGGTTAAAAGTCTTTGGACTTCTTGTAAAGAGAAAAGTGGGCACGGTAAGGGTCGCTAAGGGCTCCTGTCAAGATTTAACTTTTATTTTATTTTTATTTAATTTTGTTTATTTTAAGTTTTTTGTTTATTTTATTTTTTGTTTTCTGACATTGCCGGCTTGTGACTGAAGTGAAGTGTTTTCCACAGATAGCCTGTGGAGCAGAGTGTCCGAGATGGTGGGTTACTTCAACCAAGAAGAAGGTAGGAACGAACCCTTACCCGTAGGTGCTGACTGTACCTTGAGTCCACTGTTACCCCCCGGAGAACCCAATAAGGAGGAAGCCAAGAGAGTCGTGTGCAGTCCGGATCTACCGGTAGTGTTTCAGCCAGCACCGTCTGAAGAAGCGCCTCCTGACTCCAGCACCGCAGAAACCTTCAATTGTTCATTCTGCCAGAAAAGCTTCTCCCAGAAGAATGCTTACCAAAATCATTTAAAAACCCATACTAAAGATGGAGAAGATCCTTATCAGTGCAATTTTTGTGGAAAGACGTTCGCGGTCCCTGCTCGTCTCACTCGTCATTACCGAACACACACTGGAGAAAAACCTTACCAATGTGAAATATGCAAGAAATCCTTTTCAGTTAAGGAAAACTTGAGTGTTCATAGAAGGATCCACACGAAGGAACGTCCATACAAGTGTGACATATGTGAGCGTGCCTTCGAACATAGCGGGAAACTCCACAGGCACATGAGGATACATACAGGAGAGCGGCCGCACAAGTGTGTGGTGTGCAACAAAACGTTTATACAAAGTGGACAGTTGGTAATTCATATGCGTACGCATACAGGAGAGAAACCTTACGTTTGCAAGGACTGTGGTAAAGGATTCACTTGTTCAAAGCAGCTCAAAGTCCATAACCGTACCCATACCGGTGAGAGACCCTACTCCTGTGAAATTTGTGGCAAGTCCTTCGGTTACAACCATGTACTCAAGTTACATCAGGTTGCTCATTATGGAGAAAAGGTTTACAAGTGTACCATCTGCAATGAGACATTTACATCGAAAAAATCTATGGAGGGACACATTAAAAGCCATTCAGAAAACCAAGGACGAGAAGGTGGAGGAAGCGAAGAAGCTTCCTGTGCATCTTCAGCTAGTGATAAAGAAAATAAAGAGTCTCCTAAGCCTGCAGAATACCCTAACATCACAGAGTTGTGTGGCTATTTGTATCGTGGAGAGAAACCTGGAGGATTGGATCCTGCGCTACTGGCGGCTGTTGCGGTAGCGACATCAGAAAATTCGGACGAATATAGGCCTAGTCCGGAACATGTTCTGGAGACACCCGGAGTTAGCGATAACCCCGTCTACCTGGTACCCACCTCGAACCGACCACATAGCTCACCTTCGCCGCAGGAAGAGGAGGATGCACGGGAGACGATAAGCCTGCCTCCGAGGAAAAGGTCCAAGGCGATCCTCAAGTCAATGGAAAGAGAAGAAGCTCCACCGGTGAGGTATTCGGTGATACATTATGCCAAGGCGTCTTAAGAAAGTATTACAGGTCACAACCAGCACTGCCGTCATGATCCAGGACTCCAGGATTATCTGTGATACAAGTAGTACCTTTTTACACGCCTCTTTAAATATATATAGTTTTATCATGTATTTAAAAATATCTTTTGTATATTACTATTAGTCGTGAAAATTATTTCGGTTTTTATTAACGGTGTATATAACTATTATGTACTATGTGCAATATTTTTGGAAGTGATACCAGATATGATTCTGAGAAATGTATTGAAGGAGTACTTCCTATTTCATTTATATTAATTAAAGTGCTAGGTGTACTGTTATGTTAAATCATGTATCTGAATTTAAACGTTCGATGTGTTATAATGTTAACTTATTATAATGCCAACAACATTGCTACCTCCTAGATGTAGTAAGTAAAACTTACATAAAGTTTATATGTATATACGAGAGTACGGAATATCTCGTTTATCTGACTACTTATGTCTTTTTGTTTTAGTTAGAAAAAAGATTTATTGTTTAATACTTTGTGGTTAGGATTGAATGAGATTGGCAATTCTTATTAATGGATAAGGATGTGTAAATCGTTATTGTATATTAGCACTTATAATCCTAGATTATTTGATGGAACTGGCACCTCAGTACAGCTAAAGTATTCGACGCAAATGCTCGAGGCTATTAAATACCCGAAGCTTTGGTCAATACGAGATTGTGAATAGATTTTTTAGAGAAATGTTTTAATCCACAGGATTGTAGCTTTATTGCGTTCGTACTGGCTAATTATTATTGTTCTTAATAAATGTTTATATCTTCTAAGACTGTACGCTATTTGATAATATACGGATAGTGTAATTGACAAAGAGAACTGATTACATTATGTACTGATTGTCATTTTTATTATATAAAAAAGTTATTTCATAGAAAAATTTTTTTAAGAAAATAAATTAAATAAAAATCGTCTTTTATACCTTTCCCAGCATTGTAGTTGTTTGTAATTTTGAATGTATGTATGTGTAATCTATAGGTAAATGCTCGATCATAACCTTTGCAGTAGTTTATTTAAAAGAGTTCAAAATAGCATTGCTAAGCATATGCTGGTTTTTATAAGTGTTTTGTATGACATTTGAAACCATTGCCTATGGTAATGATTTTAATTATCTTAAATATTGATTATTGTGTGTACTGCTGATTAATTATATGAAATGTTCCTCTCAATTATTGAGAACACTCATTAGTTAATCCATAGTTATCAAAACCTTTTTAAATGGTAATTTCATTTAGCAATTCAAACTAATAATTCCACAATAAAGTTAATCATTATTTGTTATTATATTTCTTTTATATATATACATAACCCTTAATAATGATCCATACTATTAATTCCATTCAAAACATTATTATAAACCTTTTTACCTACGAGAGAAAGCAGCTTTAAAGTTGAAAGGAGAAGATTCAGGTAATACTTATGTTCTTTCAGATGTTGAGTTTTATACAGATAGCTATTAAAAAATTCTATTTTATTAAGTAAAATATTTTTAAAATTTTGTAAGCAAACATAAAAATAGTTACAATATATTTAAAAATATATTGACTTGAATGGAGTTGTAACTAATTCAATTTCTTCGTATGATTATGCAAGTTGAAAGTTCAGGGAAAGATGACGGAAGTTAAATATTGTCTTTTTTTTAATTTCTACTGTTATTTTGAAATCCAAAAACCAGTAAAATTATTGAGCTCGTCTCAGACCAAAATAAACAAAATTGAACAAGCCTCTACTAATTAGTTCCAATTAAAGAAAACAATTTCAAGTTTTTAATAAATATTTCAGTGAAGATTATTCCAAGTTTATTTAAAATAATTATACTTGATACAGACAAAATCAAATAAATATGACTAAACGCCTCAAATTGACCAAGAACTCTATATTTATATTTCTAACCAGAATATATAACAGCAAATGCACTTCTTTTTTTTAAATTTTGGCACAGAGTATTCCTTAAGCTTAGTAGGTTCTTTAGTTGAAAAAGTAAATTTTGCAACAGAAAATATAGATTTAAATCGAGCGTACTACTGGTCTCTCAAAATAAAGGAAAAGAAGAAGAAATGAAAAAGCAACGAGTAAAGGTAAGTTTACATATATTTTATCAGGAATAACATCTATTGAATGCTAGAATAGTAAGATATATTGCCTATAGCCGTGATTTGACAGTTAATACTTTATATGGCAATATAGGTATTGTAGTGGCAGCCACAGTAGGCGATTCGAAGGCCAAGACGGATTAATGTTTGAGGTATCCAAAAAAAGAAAAGGAATTTAAATAGAAGAAATTTAAATATAATTAAAAGCAAGAATTTAAATAAAATAAATTGAAAATAATTAATTTAGATTTAAAAAAAATATTTAAAATTAAAACCCCAAGGCTCTCTAAAACTTGTGTTAAGTTAAACAGAAAAGAAATAGTCTTATTTACAAGATTAAGAATTAACCATGGTCCTATATATCGCGGCTTGACATTAATTAAAGTTGAAAAAAATTATAAATGTCCGACATGGAATTCCATTGAGGACCCATTGCTCATTATTTTAAAATGCAGCAGATATGATAAATACTAGATTAAATACTCTCTCATCCAAAACAATATAGCTTTCCTCAAAGGGCTCGCTGATCTAGATAGGGATGCCATTAAGATTCTGCAAATTTATTGAAGAATCCAAAATAGATTTTAAAAATAAATAAATAATAATAATGTACATCCATATCTCCATTCCATTATAATATAACAATAGGAGCAGTATAGGAATTCAGTGGGAATCTTGGGCCGACTAAAGAAAAAAAAAACTGAACACTTACACTTACCTAATTAAGCTCATCTGGAATTTCGCTTCACAGATAGGCGTAACAACCACGGACACATTTGTAAACTACACAATTTTCAGTCAAAAACTTTCATAATTATAAGTAAAGCCCTACGGTACGTCACAAACATTACTTTGCATGATGGCGTTTACATGCCAACAGTCAACGACCACATACGGACAAACAAAAGATATCACGATAACTTACACCGACCCACATTGGTTCAGAGGCGGAAAAAAACCATAAAAATGAAAGTATTCTCATCACACTTTGTGTGCTATATTATCTTTCCTTGACATCTCTAGAATATAGGCCAGTAACTATTTTATCCAGTTTCCTCTGATTTAACCCTTAAAAATTAAAGAGCATGTTTCAGCGATTTTACATAAAATTAACTGTATTTACAGATGTTTTAAATAAATATTTTTAAATATCATTAAGGGTGATGTTATTGAGTTTTTTTCTTTGAAATGCCATTGTTATGCACTTATAAGTATAAAAAAATTAAATTTGGAACAATCTTACAGCTCTTTGGTTTCCGTTGCTGTAATTATGAAAAAATCGAAGTATAATTTAAGCATAAACGAAAAATAAACAACTAGCTCTACTAAGCTCCACGCTGGGACTTAATTCCATTCGATAGGATGTATCAATTGCTTGCTCATATTCTCTGATTTAAGAGTATGAGTAATTTTTCTGAGTATTTTATGTAACATTAAGAAATTGTTAGCTGTGTAATTCAAACAATGACCTTTACAAGTGAATTAATATTATTTATTTATCTTCTGTTCATTATTCCTAGAATTGGTGTCTTGAGGTTTTATTTGTTATATAAATTAGGCCATTATTTATCAACATCTTATTTATTAGCTATTTTATTACAACAACGTTTCGACCATCACTAGGGCCATTTTCAAGTCTTATTGAGTCCTCCATTAAATTTGCATTATTCAGTGTCATATTAATTTTACAGAAAAAATTAAGTTGTCCTGATATTTTAGAGTTTTCCAGTCCCTCTAGAAATGACGTTGGGGAAACCAATTGAAAATTGGTCGAAACGTTGTCGTTATAAAATAGCTAATAAATAAAATGTTGGTGAAAAATGACCTAATTTATATGACAAATAATAAGTTATTTATTTACTTTTTTCTTGGCAGTTAGTGCTTGAATCACATTTATATGTATTTAAGAACATCTATTAGAGTCAATAGCAATCATTATTAGCCGTACTTGAGTAGAGCATTATTGAGTTCGTTCGATATTTTTCATGAGATGTTATGTTAGGTTTTAATGAATCGTATATGTTTTCTAATGTAAATTTCAAGCAAAAAAACGTCTTTTATTCTGTAATAGATAGAAATATTTCATGGTTTAATCCATTCAAAATCAGTAGAAACAATAAAAAAAATTTAAATTTCCTAATAATTTTTTCTCAATGGTCTAATGCCTATTTCGATAAATAAATAAAAAACATATTTAGTAAAATTTTATTTTCTTAGTCTAAAAGGTAATTTATTTAGTACTTCTTTTAAATTTTAGTAATTCTTTAATTAAATATTTTATCTTAATTTTTACAGTTTGAAATCGGTGCTCAAATCTTATAACTGTTTGGGTTTTAAAATTATTGGAGAATGTTAAATCTTCCACTATCCTCTCGCCAGTCGCCTTTGTTCCAAATCCAACTTGCTTTGGAATGTAATAAATTTGGAAGAATAAATAAATATTAAAATAAAATAATAATAAAAATATTTTTTTAAATAATAAAAAAGTATTTTTTTAAATAATAAAAAAGTATTTTTTTAAATAATAATTTTCAGAAAATAATGTGGTAAAAACAACAATATTAGAATTTTAAAATAAGGCTTTATCTTCAACGGGGAATGTCGATTTTTAAAAACAAAATAATATTTATACTTAAAACTTTAGTTTTATTTTTGTAAATATTATAAATCTATATATTTAAACATTTATTAAACGAAATTTTGTTTAAATCTTTCTAATATTCAATATTTTCGCTCAATAATGTTAACTTGAATCATTAAATTTGATTTTATTGAGATTTTTTTTTCTCTCTTCGTCGGAAACCTATGACTTCCTGTCCTACAGTATCCTTCAAAATAGCCCTCTTATCCCTATCGAACAAATCCGATACCTAGGACTCCACCTGGATAAACGACCCACTTGGAACCCCCATACCAGACTGAAACGACTAGAAACCGCCCGACGTTTTCTACTACTGCAGCACTTACTAGACAAACGCTCTAAGCTTTCAATCAATTACAAACGACCCATATATTTGACAATAATAAGAACTATTTGGATTTACGGAATTGAGCTTTGTGGCTCCACTAAATCATCGAATTCCTCTCGTATCCAATCCCTACAATCCAAAATCCTCAACGCTCCTTACTTTGTGACAAATAAAATCATCCATAAAGACCTTAATGTTCCATATGTTTCCGATTAGACCCAATCCAGATACATAACAAACTCCAGAAACATCCGAACCCTCTCGTTTCAAACCTTACTTCCTCCTCGATTCCTGATAAACCTCCAAAACTTCTAAAAAGAAGATGGTCTCGGGACCTTCTAATATAGAACTTTAATTTGAGTTCTACTAATGGGTAGTTTCTTTTCATGCTGTACATGTCATGTTACCAATGTCACGTTTACTTGTTGTATTTTTCATGTAATGCAGTTGTAAATTTCATTAAAATAAAAAAAATAAAATTCAGATTTAAAAAAAAAAATTAAAACATAATTCAGTTTCATTCAGAATAAGAAAATATATATAAAATGACTTAACTCTATTTGAGCTCGTATGTCTAAGGTGGACAAATATTTTTCCTGAAAATGAGGTGTTTTGTACCACTGTGCGACATGCTAAAACACTCATACAATGAACGTCCACAATTAACATCCCTGATTGTAGTTACACGTATGAAGTTCAAAAGAAGCTGGGAGTGAGAGATCTCCTCGGTTAGATATAAATACTAAATTTTAGATAGATGGTCACTTTTCTCTCTCAAGCCTATCAATTTCTAACAATATTCAACTTACCGACAGTACACGCACTAAGAGAAAGAAAGTTAAACAAAAAAAAGTTTTCGTCCTAATAGAAAAATATGTAAGTTTTTGCAATAAAGTTATAGTTCAATAAAGAAATAAATATAGAAATAAAACTTTTTTTTTTTTTTTTTTTTTTTTTTTTTTTTTTTTTTTTTTTTTGGGTCCTTCCCTTCCTCGCCATTAAGGCTATACGGGATTTTCCCGGTCCAGGGAGTGTGGGCGGGGATTTAAAAGACTCCCCCGGACCGGGACGCGAACTCGTGACTATTTTTATATCTTTGTTTCATATGTCAGGTTGCCAGGCAACGGCGGTGCAGTGCACACGCTTTAGCCCATTCGGCTACCCCGCCCACTATATAGAAATAAAACTATACCCCTCATGTGAGACCCCCTTGAGGAAGTCAAG